GGGCCCTTTCCCCATCCCCAGAACACTGCTGGTGTCCCACATTCATCTTCTTCTAGCAAGCTGCCCTCTTGCTTTGGGATAGATAAGGTTCTCTGTCAAACTCGGCAGCACATTCTTCTCCCTTCATTTATCCTTTCAGATAAATACCTCTGTCCAGGTTATTTGATGGCATACAACCGACAGCACATGCACAACTAAACCATAGGTCTTTGTATGAAGGTGAAACTATGGGGGAGACATAATGAGGGATGAAGGGCACTTAATCATGTGGGCATGAACTTCACTAAGCCATGGTAGAGAGAGAGGGGGAAGGCATCATTTCTGTCATTACGAAAAGGCACACATACCTAATAGTTGTGTGGGAAATTTCCCCCACCTTCGACCAGAAGCCTACCTCAGTTTCCTAGGCCAGCCCAAAGAGACTTTTTCCAGTGAGTCAATATTCCACGTTGCCATGTCCAGCACAGTGACCATTAAGCCATATGTGGCTACTGACCACCTCCGTGTGACGAGCACAACTAAGGAATGAAATCTCTGATTTGAAATTCTCGCCAGTTCGGTGCACATGTGACCCGCTAGTACCAGACTGGAGAGCAGAGTCTTGAATGTCAGGGGAATGTTGTGAAATTAGCCCACCCGGGCTTGATCCCCGGAACCCCATATGGTCCCCCAAACCCTCCAGAAGTGACCCCTGAGTGCAGAGCCAAGAGTGTCCTCTCTCCCAAACTAGATTGCCATGCTCTCTTTGCGGTTCTTTCTCAGTCACATGGCTGGGCCCACCAGGAGCAAACGCTCCACACCGGGAGAATTTGACAGCAGAAGCGGATTTTCCCCTGCTCTGGAGGCAGGAAGCACAAGGTCACGGTATGCGTGGGGCTGGTCTCCTCCTGGGGACTGCCTGCCAGGCTTGCCCATGGCTGTCCTCCCCCCGCACCCCCGGGGTCTCCGCACTCTCCTCAACGGGCATCCCTGCGTCTCTCTCCATGTCCTAATCTCTGCTGGAATGTCACCCAGAAGGGATTAGTGTCCCAGCCCCAATTCCTGCCTCCCTCTCTCCAATACAGTCATATTCCCAGGCCCTGGGTTAAAGCTTCCACATGTGACTAAGGGGCACCCAGTTCAGTTCGTACCAGAGAACTGTACAATTATGGACCGTGTTCTATCAGGAACTGTGGGCTGTAAAGCAGCAGGGGGTGCAGGCATTTGTAATTCGGTGCCACTGATGCGTTAGACCTTCTTTCTAGTATCACCCTTGGCACCAGCATGGGCTGCTGGCAGTTGGGGAAACCAAATGGGTCTACACTTCTTTTTTTGGGGGGGAAGTCACACCTAGCGATGCACAGGAGTTACTCCTGGCTTTGCACTCAGGAATGACTGCTCAGGGGACCCTATGGGATGCTGGGAATCAAACCCGGGTTGGCTGAGTGCAAGGCAAATGCCCTAACCCGCTGTGCTATCGCTCCAGCCCCAGCACTACACTTCTTAAGAGTCACACTCTTCTGTCTCTCGTCCCTGAACACACACTCCGCTCCTCTGCTGGGCAGCAAAGATCTGAGTCCAGGGTCTGACCCCCCCGGAGCCCAAGTCAGTGTCCTGGCTTCCTCCACCGGCAGCCTCACCTTTGCAGAGCTTGTTCCCTGCTCATACCCACCTCTACTCCACTGATGTTCTTTACAGTCTCTCTGCCTGCTCCTGTCTTGTTTTTTAGAATTTATCTCCTCTGACCTCCGCCCCATTCTGGAAGCCACCTCTTATCATTCGTTCTTACTTCACCTCCCCCTCTCCCTTTCCTGTCCAGTTGTACTGAAAACAATACCCAACAAAAAGACTCCGTGATTGTCTGCCTGTTTCGCCAAGTCTCTGAACCTGGAAACCATCTGTTCCAGGCTCACGGCACCCGGGTGCTTCTCTGGCTGCGACATCCGAAGTTAGTCCTCACATCTGGCGGGGCCCCAGAATGTCACTGCAGCCTCGTAGACAACCATTAAGTTCTCTTTTCCCTTTCCTATCTCTGAACTGTTGGGAGACGTAAGCTTCTTTGCAGCTGAATATATATTGTTGCACATATAATATCCAGACACCAACCTGAGACTGCAGGATATCCACTGTGCTGTGTATATTAACTTCACAATAAAGTCAAAGACAGATGGCTAAAAAGAACCCCTAATCGCCTCTGAAATTATTAAATCTTCCTGTCGGAGAGCTCCAAGAGCCAAGAAATTTTCTTTTTAATCCCTGTGGGCTTTCTATTCCATAGATGAAGTTACAGAGCTGGCCTGAAAAAGCAATCTCGTAAAATCCCTTATGAGAGGGGGCGGGGGATCATTAGTATCCTCCTTCTGAGGTTTGCAAGTAATAAATTTGCTCCGTGCTTTTCCAGCCCCCGAACGCTGTGTGGGCTTGATGAATGGCTGCGTTTGACCCCACCGCGGCTCTACACAGATGTCTGTAAACATCTGCAAGGAAGACCCCTCCGCAGGTCGGCGGTATTACTGATGAGGCGCTGGGGGTGCCTTTGTGGGCAAACAGGCAGCATCTCTCTCCTTCCGTGGGTGTCTGGCCCGCCTCTGCTTCCCTGAAGCTTCCTTCGAAGCACTGGTCCCCCCAGGCGGTGACTCTACCTCGCTCCCCTGCTCCACCCACGGGGACGCCTGACCATGCCTGCGGGTATTTTTTTAATTGTCACGGAGGGCACTGGGGGTGTTGCTGGCATCTGGGAGGGTGGAAGCCACAGACGCTGGCATTCACGTCCCTCGTGCCCGGGCAGCCCCCCTACCACTCTACCCCGCTCCACGACAACAAAGAATTATTCAGCCCAAATGCCAGCCACGCTACAGAAATCTCTTGTTTCAGCATAGCTTGTTCACCCGACAAATAGTATAAATATTGTAACACCCAGCAAAGGCCCCAGTAGCCCCCTCTCTCTGTGTTGGCGGGCCCCTGCATTCGCGCTCGTTGGAATCAGAGCATACCAGACACTGCCTCAGGCCCGGAGCCAAGCGGCTTAATCAAGCTCTTTCTTCATCTAGTCCTCTCGGTTTTCCACTTCAGTGGAAGAGAGACGAGCGTCTAAACACATCAACACAGAGGGCCAGGATTCGAGAGACAGTCCAGGGGCTAAGGCCCTCACTGTGCCTGCTGCTAACCCTGCTTCCATGGTACTTACCCCCGACTACCACCAGGCGAGAGCTGGGCTTAGCCAGCAGCAGTCCCCACCCCTCTCCCCCCCCTCCCCCTGGCCAGCATCCTCCTGGAACCCCAGACTTTTGCAGTGGGCAACTGGCCGAGCTGCATCTGCATCCTTTGCCAGGGGAGAGTCGAATACCCCGAAGACAGCATCAGTGACTTCCCACAGGACTTAGGGATAAGATTCAGATCCCCCCCCTAGGGACTGGGCTTGTCTTCACGCCCACCCTCCCTTCCTTCCAACCACGCGTGGCCCGGCTGCATGCCTTCCTCCAAAGTACCCAGGCCTTTCTCTCCTCATCCCTTCTGGGTGCTTCTTCTCCTGGGTATTTGGTCTCTTTCATGCCCTTGCTCATATGACACCAAACCATCTTTCTTCAATGTCACCTTCCAGCCTGCCTCCGTAAGGCAGATGAAAGCACCTCCAGAAGGGGCAGATAATGACGAAGAGACCCAAGAGACTGATGGATGGACCGCTAAAAAGGTCTCTCTCAGGGGTGGAAAGATAGTACAGCAGGTAGGAAGTTTGCCTTGCACATGACCGACCCAGGTTCAATCTTTGACATCCCATAGCACTGCCAGGAGTAATTCCTGAGTGCAGAGCCTGGAGTAACCCCCAAGCATCACCAGGGGTGACCCATAAAAGCAAATCAACCAATCGATCAATCAAAAGGTCTCTCTTCTTGGAGCACCAAATAAAGGGTGTTGGGAGGATCCTCCCAGGATGGGAGAAGCATGCTGAAAGTAGACTATAGACCAAACATGATTGCCACTCAATGCCTCTTCTGCAAACCATAACACCCAAAAGGAGAGAGAGAACAGAGGGGAATGACCTGCCACAGAGGCAGGGTAGGTTGGGGTGGGGGGTAGGGGGTGGGAAGGTTACTGGGATCCGTGGTGGTGGGAAATGGGCACTGGTTGAGGGATAGGTATTTGATCATTGTATAATTGAAACCCAAGCACAAAATTTGTAAGTCTACAACTGTACCTCATGGTGTCTCACTAATAAAATTTTTTAAAAAAGTCTCTCTTCTTTTCTCCATGTACTTGCCCAAATTTATCCTGAATTAAAGCCATCTAAAACCTTACTAAAGTTGGCCAAGACCTTTCTTTATAGCCTAGACCCCACCTCTTCATTTTCTCCTCGCTGGAAGTTACTGAGACTGACTTACCAAATATCCAAGGTTTCTCTTGCACTGAGGATGCTTCAAGACCTCCCAGGGCGCCTCACCCAGCCCGACCCACCCTTTTGTCTTGTCCCCCCTACCCTCCGCTCTGAAAGGTTGCTCGTAATGCGTTATGCATGTTGAGGAATGCTTTTAAATCCTAGAAGAACTTCTGGCAGATCAATTAATGAGAAGACTCAGCTCAACTCTTGCACCAACAATTCGTCAACAATTTCAATGCCAGAGTGACGGCCAGGACGTCCCACGGGGGACTGTGAGCATCTGGGCTCGGAACATGGATCACGGCAGCTCGGAGCCACTGTCTGCACTGACCTTGGCTGAAACCCACATAAACCTACAGGCGGCAAGATAAACGATGACGCGACCAAGTTCGCGGAGCCTTGGAACCAAGGTCAACAGCACACATCCATTAAAACAGGAGTTGGGGGCTGGCTGGGAAGGGTGTTGAGGGGACCCTGGGGAGCTGACAACACTCTTACAACGAGCAATCAGGGAGTGGCTTTGGGGTCCCGCCTCCCAAACAGACCAACCTGCAGAGAGGTACCTGTGGAAGACGACATGCGGGTATCCGAATCGGCCAGCACTGACGGGAAGAGGCGAGTGCCCGGGGTGGGCCCCCACACTTACCTCCTCCAAGGCCCACAGCGAGTCCACCACGGGCTTGATCTTCTTCTGGTTGTACAGCCCCAAGAGTCTGTCCACCACTCCGCGGATGAGGCCGGCGCGGCCCTGCTTGAAGAGCAGGTTTAAAAGGGAAAAGCCGGCAATGACCTTGTTCTCCTCGTACAGCTTGATGGGGTTGACCTTCTCCACCTGCCACCACTGTGGGGAGAGACGGGGCTGTGTGAGCCGTGATGCAGGGGCCGGGGAAAGGGAGCTCCCAAGGGCAGCCTCTGTTGGCACCTTTGTGAATCTCTTTAGGCGTCTGGGCACTGATGGTGTATGTGCAGGAAGCAAGAACTGAGGGTGCAGCAGGGAGAGAAAAACCCTGGGCACGTGTGCGGGCAACCAGGAGGTGTCTGCTCCTGCCTCTCTGCCAGGGCCCCTGTAATTTTCTGGGTTTCATTTTTCATGGGTATCTCTGGCAGCAGGATCACGCCTGGCCTGGGAATTCAAAACCCTTGGCTTCGTGAGTGAGGGAGGCGGTGGGGGGAGTAGGGTGGCAGGGTGGTGGGGACTGCATGGGGACAAGGCTGAGTTTAGGAACACATTCTGAGTGTGGGTGAGGACGAATAGCCATGGGGCAGGGCCAGGAAGAGGGGGTGAGGCTGCATCAGAGAAGGCAGCAGAATCCAGGCAGGGCCGGGTTAATTAATGGCAGAGCTCCCTGAGTGGTAAGCAGTGGCATTGGGCGAAGGTCACAGAGCTTCATGACACACATATCGAGAGGAGAGCTGGCAGGACAACTAGCCTGGGTGACGCCATGTATGAGGACCACTGCCCCTCAAAGCAGGCAGCAGTGATGGGGTGGGCTAGAAGGGTGGAAGGAACAGCCCAGCGCAGAGACCAACGTGTTGGGACCAACAATAGTCTTCAACCTGGAGCCCACTCCCTCGCGGGAGGTTTTTGCTGTGCCAGCATCCTGTGAGAAGACAGGGTCGACACTTCCCATTCCTCTGGGCTTGGGCCAGCCCTTCGCAGCCTACAATTATCCAGCTCCGAATGTCAAGAGCAGTGGGGGCCAAAGTGATGGTACAGTGGGGGAAGGGGGGTTGCCTTGCACATGGCCGACCCAGGTTCAGTCCCAAGAGGAATATGGTCCCCTAAGCACTGCCAGGAGTGATTCCTGAGCACAGAGCCAGGAGGAAGCCCTGAGCATCACCGGGTGTTGCCCCCAAACCAATACAACAACAACAACAACAGCAAAAATGTCAGTAGTGCAAAAGCTGGGAAGCCCAGACAAAAGTTTGGGGTGGAGGGTACCCACAACAGTCTCTTCTCCACACTCTAATCTCCCAACAAGCCCCGAAAGAGAAGAATCCACCAGTTAACAAAAGAAAATGGGTCCCCAGCTATTCCTGGTTGCTTCATGCCTTTTCATGCGGGGTAGCAGCTGGAGACACCAAGTCTCAGATCCTAGGGGGTTTCAAGGCGAGCTGCCTCCTAGCAGCTTGGGGTGGAAGGCACCGAAGAACACAGTGGTCAATGGGACCAGCACCCAGGACCTTCCTTCTGAGGACAACGTCACATTCTTCCCAGGACTGAGGAGACCACACATGCAGAGGGTGTGGGGTGGGAAATCCTATTGTAGGGGCAGGAAGTGGGATAGAGATAGAGAATGGGGTACTGTGGGTGCACAGACTTGTGGGTGAGAGGGCTCTCCCCAAGCATCTGTGGGTGTAGCTTGGGGAGTCGTGGGTGTGGCGCTGGGCTGCCTGGTCCACGCTCCACAGTCCTCTCGTTGTTCATAGATTTGCTCGAGCGGGCCCAGTAACGTCTCCACTGTGAGATATATTGTTACTGCGTTTGGCATATCGAATACGTCACGGGGAGCTTGCCAGGCTATGCAGTGCGGGCGAGATGCTCTCGGTAGCTTGCTGGGCTCTCCAAGAGGGGTGGAGGAATCGAACTGGGGTCAGCCATGTTGGCTGCGTGCAAGGCAAATGCCCTACCCGCTGTGCTATCGCTCCGGCCCAAGTCAAAACAGAAGACTGTCTCATGACCAAACGCCAGAGTCTGTGAAGTGTGCGCTTACAAGCTCTGTGTCCTGGCGTGACGCAGGCTCCAGCGCCACGTGTCCACCTTTAGATGCCACGTTGATGCTGGCTGGTCCTGCTACTTTCTCTCTCTCTATCTGTATCATTTGTTTTGGGGTTACACCCAGCGGGGATTAGGGCTTACTCCTGGCTCGACATTCAGGAGTCACTCCTGGTGGGGCTTGGGGAACCATATGTGGTGCCAGAGACTGAACACGGGTCAATCGCATGCCAGGCAAACACCCTACCTGCTCTAATATCTCTCTGGCCCCCTGACTGCCTAGTCACTTAACCTCTCTGTGCTTTATTTCCCCTCGGATCTCATGTCCACTTGAGGAATCAGTATGAAGTCCTTAGGATAGAGTCTGCAATGCAGCACATCGCCGACAAATACAAGTGGTATTTATTATCCTCTTAAGGTGTACGCGCCGTAGTTGGTTAGTGAATTAGGGCCCTTTATTTGAACCCAGCTTGCTCATTAAATGTTAATTTCACCCGTTATTAGTGTCCTCCTCCTCCTCTTTGGGGTCTAAAAGCAAATTAGCTTATTTGAACATGAGTGAGCACGGGCTATGAAGAAATTTTAAGGTAAACCAGTGTACCTGTATGATTCCAAATATGCCTTTGATTTCTGAGCTTTCCCTGGATGCACGGAAGGACATTTGGCTTTCTAGAACCTTCCAGAACAAGGCTTCCAACCCCCCACTTGGCAGATTCACATCCTCCTCCTGCTACTTATTAACCAGCTACTATCCCTCCAGCCTCTGAACAGGAACAGTCTTCTCTCTCGGTCTCCAGCTGAAGGCAGCTGGGGAGAGGCACCCCCATTCCAGGCAGAGAGAGAGAAAATCACCCCCAGCCTCGTTGTGTGTTTATGAGCGTCATGAATCAGACGGGGGCACGCTGCAATTATTTCATTAACACCGTGTGCTAGGATTGTGCATTTCGGGGAGAAAGGGAAAACACTTGTTACAACTGTAAGTAATTTGGGACCAATTTGGCTCCCCACGGTGGCACGTTAATTACTCACAACAGCTGTGAGTGACACAGAGCCTGACTTCAGGGCCCATGGCTGTGGACGGCGCCTTCCTCACACCCCTTGGGCGCTCTTCCACCCTACCTCCGCTTCTCGGGAGCTGCTGTGGCCTTGGCCTGGACTCTTAAATCTGGAATTCAGGGGAGCCCCTTCATTTTTAATCTCATTAGAAATTCATTTCTACTCAGGGTAGGGAGCAGGAACTTTCCAGAGCCAGGGAATGCTGTGGGTTGACGTCTTTGGCAGGTAGAGTTGGCACTAGGTCACGGTCACGGTCCTCCCATTGTTCATCGATTTGCTCGAGCGGGCCCAGTAACGTCTCCATTGGAGACTTTGTTGTTACTGTGTTTGGCATATCAAATACATCATGGGGAGCTTGCCAGGCTCTGCCGTGCGGGCGAGATACTCTCGGTAGCTTGCTGGAGCGATAGCACAGTGGTAGGGCGTTTGCCTTACATGCAGCCGACATGGCACTAGGGGTAAATGTGATTATTCCCCTGAGCCACACTTAAGCACGGAATGCCAACACCTTCTCACAGTGTGCCCCGACCACCCTCCCCATCCTGCTGCGGACTCTCTCAGCTTTTTGTCTCTTTCTGGGGGCATGATGGTCATTCACAGTCCCATTATTTATGTTTCACTTATTTCCATTCATCTCCCTCATTAGAATGCAAAAGCTTCCCTAGCCAAAAATGTTCCTTTCTCCTTCACTGTGCCACCCTGGTGCCCGGTGAGGTGCCAGAGGTGCTCCCGAGGGGGAAAGCAGCCTCTGCTCATGGCTATGCAGGTGTCTAGGGGAGACAAAAGCAAGCCCAGAGGGGAAGCAGCAGCCGTCGTGGGCGGGAAGATGGCACCGAGGGCTGGAGTGCCAGCCTTGCATGCACAATAGCCCAAGTTTGATGCCAGGCACTGAAGGCCTACCCCCAGGATCCTTGAGTATCTTGAGCAATCTCCTGGTGTGTGTGTGTGTGTGTGTGTGTGTGTGTTCAAGACCATGTTAGTTTAGTTCCAGCTTTGTAGCTCCAAATGGCAAGGTACAGATGGGTGTACGTGTGGGGGGTAATGGGGTCATCCTTGTGAGCTGATAGCCCCAGGATGCACCTTCTCGAGTGCAAGGGAACCAACTGGATCCAAAGCATGACTGTTAGAGCACAACTTGCTGGGGGTCTAAATGTCACCCAGGAGCTTATTAAGACTCTAGTGTCCCAGGGGCTGGAGTGATAGCACAGCAGGTGGGGCGTTTGCCTTGCATGAGGCTGACCCAGGTTTGATTCCCAGCATCCCATATGGTCCCCTGAGCACCGCCAGGAGTAACTCCTGAGTGCAGAGCCAGGAGGAACCCCTGCACATTGCCGGGTGTGACCAAAAAAGCAAAAAAAAAAAAGACTCTAGTGTCCCAGGGGTATCTCCAACTCTGTAGGATGGGGATCTGGGGAAATCTTAAAGGACCCCAGAGGCTAGTGAGAGAGTGGCCAGACTGAAAGGCTGATACCCCCATGAAGCCATCAAAATGCACTCAGGCTAAGCTGAGTTTTGCCCAGTGATGAAAACAGCAAGATGGACGCCATCTTTGTTCCACTGACATTCCCAGAGGTCTGCTTCATTTAGACAAAAGCTTCCCAGAGAGAGAGGGGCAGGGGGAAGTGTCTGTTGGGGGCGGGTGGTGTTATGGGAAGGAAACTGGGAACACTGGGAAATGTATACTGCTGGAGGGATGGGTGTTGGAACACTGTATGACTGAAACCTAATCATGAACAGTCTCGTAAGGGTCTATCTCACTGTGATTCAATAAAAAAGTCTTTTTAAAAAAGAAAGGGGGGGGGAAACGCTTCCCAGAATTACAGTTCTGCTCATAGGTAGTGAGCCCATGAAGAGTCTACATTTTCAATATAGATGCTATTGGAAATGAAAGGTGCAGATGACAGAGACAAGAGAATATTGGCAGGTCGTTCTCTTCCAGTGAAGTAATCACAACACATACAAATCACAGTCCCATTCTGGCACATGAACACACACAATTACTTACGGATTTTGCGAAGCTAAAAAAGCTCTTGGTCTCTCCGGTCACCATGTTGGATGAACCTGTAAATGGGAGATTCCCAAATTAAGCTGTCGTACAGGAAAAGCTACGTCACTTGCTCTATGTGGAAGAATGGCAAGTGATTTAGTGCAAAACTTGAAAACGAACTTAATTTAGCCTTGGGAAAATGAGAGGAATGGAAGGGTTGGGTGGCCTCATGCTGACTTGATTTTCGTTGAGTATCTCCGGACCAGAGAGGACATAACATTTCTCAAGGTGACCATTTCATCCCTGTGCAAAATAGCGCGCTTAAGCCAACGTTCTGATCTGATGAAGAACTGCCGAGATGTCTTGTTGGTTCTGTTCTTAGAGACTGAGAAACGGACTTCTGCGTGTGTCTACCTTACAGCTTGGATTTGATTCCTTGGCAAATGAGATGACTGGGGCTCTGATCTGAGCTGGGAATTGAAGGGGAGAGATGGAATTGGGCTAGAATTTAAATAGATGTAAAAACTGTTGAAAGTGAACCCGGGTCAAGAGGCAAGGCAATTGTGTGACTCGTGTGTCATTTCCAAAGAGGCTTAGACAGAAAGATAAAGGGCATTGAGACAACTGGTATGAGACGCTGGGCATCGCTGATTAGAATAAATGACATTTAGTGGGGAGCCAGGAGGTGAAGTTGGGTTCCTGAAGATACCCTGGCAGATCAAAAGACTCCCTTGTGGGGTGCCCTGCCACGGGTGATGCAGGACTACTCTTAGCCGCCGGGGCACTATATTGATACATCTCTGACTTTTCTGCCTTGTACCCAAAGATTTGTTCCCAAAGCTTTCAGAGAACTGCTATTTCCAAACATAAAATGACATTTACTTAAAACTTAATTATTTGGCCTTGGGTGACTCTGGGGAAATGAATATTTAACCACTGCTTCTATTTTTGGGGGGTGACTACCACCAAGCGTCACGGGTATTGAGTTTTGACTTCTCAGTAATCATCGTAATGAGTTAGATACTTGCAAGATGATCAGATTATATTCTGCCAAAGTGACATCATGGAACTGGGGCAAAAATAGAGCCGGGAAGGAAGTGAGAATGGTCCGTCTGCCTTGGGCGCACATTGCCGTTCCCAGCCAATAGCGCTCCATTGTGCACGAACGCTCATGGCTGCTCTTAGCAGTACCAGTAATTTAAAAAATTATGCGCCCACCTCCAAACACTTTCAACTGCGTGGCCTCTCTCAAAAATGCCCATGACTACAGTGATGAAAAGAGTATGCACTTTCTTTCTGTCAAAATGAATTGGTGACGAAAAGAAGCTTGACTAGTTATCCCTCTCAAATCCTCCACCTGTGCTTCCCTGCTCATACAGAAATGCATCCCCTCCACCACCCCAGGTTTAAAGGACATGACTCAAGTTTCTACTGAGTCATTAGGGGACAGAGATGCCAGAAAGTCTCAAACCTCAGATGAACCTGAGTGTCATTCAGTGTTGGCAAGGACATCTGGCTTCAGAAGTCTCTTTTTTAAAAACTCTGTAAATATGGATATTTAACTCAGCTTGTATGCCTCTGACAGGAGAAAAGGGAAACAAGGATCTGGGGTTTCATGCTGCTGCAGAAGACCTGCTCCCAGAACCTTTTCTAGGTGTCCCCAAAGCCAGGAGAGGAGGCAGGAGCAGGCATGTACCCGCTCCCCCGGGCTTCTGTCTTGGTTGGGACATACAAGAGTAGTTTGGAGCTAGGACGGTCTGTGCTAAATTTCAAGTCAATAGTCATTTCTCTCAGAATCCCTCCATATCTTAGCTCTACTCCCCAGGTCATCATGAGTCCTTCCTGCCTGTCTTTTGGGAGCTTTCTTTGAAGCCCTTAACATATGCCCGGTGATCCTATAGATATCAACAGTGCTTTGTACATTTTAAAATGAGACATGTTCACAGAGGTACCAGGTTACTTTCCTCCTTATAAAAAACCAAAGGCAACAACATTACTAGAGCAAACATTCAATCAGCCCTCTCCTTATTCTCATGACCCTAACATGCTGACACATTTCTGGTTCTGGAGCATTGCTGGTAACTGTGTCCCCCTCATTGGTCGATACGCACCATAGAGGATGTAGGTCCCCAGCGGCTTGAGAAGACTGAGGCCCTTTCCAGTGTTGTCCCCACAAAGGCAGTCCAAAACAATGTCCACGCCTTCTGCAGAGATCCTACAGAGGAAGAGACCGGCAGTGACCCAACTGTCCATCCCACTCCCTCCCCGGGTCACGTTTACTCCAAGACTTGGGGATGGTGAAGTTTCTGGGACTAGTGACAAAGTGGCCAGGATCCCAGTTGGGTTGAAGAGTGGGTCAAGACGGCAGCCTCTGAACTTGTCTCTAGCCACCTCACTCCATCTATCTGTGCCTCAGGAAAGGCACTGTAGAGTGGAAATGCTATGTTCCCTTGAGCTCAGAATAACACGCAGTGACAAGAGAAACGTCTGGCCCTTTGCCAGACACCTAGAATTAACAAGGAACAATTGAGGCTTCAGTTACAGGAATCAACAGAAATGATTCCTGTTGGTGGAATTGGCAGGGAATGTGTCTGTCTCTGTCCGTGGTGCTGAAGACACAGTGTCAGGACAAACACTGTCCAAGTTCTCTTCCTTTCCTCTTCCAATAACGACCCATGGGTTTAACTTGGAAATTCCTATTCGTCCAATTTACACATTCGTTCTGAAAGTGAGAGGAAGAGGACGAAAGAGACAGGACCTCCTTCCAGCAATGGAAGGACCCCGAGCAGAGGGAATCCACATTAGTTCTCTTTTAGGCCAGCTGATCCCTTTAACTTCTCATTTGCTTTTACTTTCACTGATTTTTTCTCTCACTCCCTCACTCATGCATTTAACAATCATCCACCAGGTCCCACTGTCAGATGCTGCTGTGTAGGAGAAAGTTGTATGGAATCAGGAAGGGTCTGGAGATGTCTGGGGAAGATATCCTTGCCCTCCCCATGCCCAACTGTGACAGGGCTCTGGACAAGGATGCCATTTTCTCAAATTAGGCACCACAAAATGATCCTGTCTTGGCAGAGAGTTCAGATTTTTTTTGAGCCCACTTTCGACCTTCTAACTTGGTTCAGGCACTGCACACTGATAGGCGTGTCCCCAGAGCCAACAGGAAGGAAATTGCTCCGGCATCGCCTGGGTTCCTGCACTAAATTTTTTTTATGTAGGAGTACTGCTATTTATTCAGCCACTGATTAGCTGATTGAATTGGGCATGAACGCCACCTTACTTTTTTTTTTCATAATTTTATTTTTTTCTTATATTTATTTATTGAATCACTGTGGGAAAAGTTACAAAGCTTTCAGGTTTAAGTCTCGGTCATACACCTCTCCCTTCACCAGTACTCATTTTTTACTACCAAGAACCCCAATATACCCCCTTCCCACCCCTCCCAATGCCTGTGAAGAAGATGATTTCTACTTAACTCTTCTCTACATTGATTACATTCATTATTTCAGCAAAAGATGCACCATTATTGTTTAGAATTTTCCCCCCAACAATCAGAATTGCGGAAAAGGCATTGTGAAATACTTTGTTTTCTATAGCTGGTTATGAGAATCATATAATGTCACGCGGCCTGCACTAAATCTTGACCATCACATCCATGACTGAGAGTCTTGATGTCAACCTCTCCTTTGAAAGTTGTCAAAGTCTTGTTCCAAGCTCATCCCACAGTCAAGTCTCTTCCAGAATGATCAGCTTGGCTTCCTGCCCAACAAATCTGCTCTTATCTGCACAGGTGTGTGATCTGAAGTCCCACCTGCCAGTTCAGAACAAGGGAGCTGGGCCAGCGGCTCTCAAGCTGATATGAGCAGTAGAATCTCTTAGGGGAGGCTGCTTGAGTGTGTTTGTGTGGGGGGAGGGGGTGGCTGCAGGGTCGTCCCTTCCCTTCCCTTCCCTTCCCTTCCCTTCCCTTCCCTTCCCTTCCCTTCCCTTCCCTTCCCTTCCCCTCCCCTCCCTCCCCCTCCTCTTTTCTTCCCTTCCCTTCCCTTCCCTTCCTTCCCTTCCCTTCCCTTCCCTTTTCTTCCCTTCCCTTCCTTCCCCTTCCTTTCCCTTCCCTTCCCTTCCCTTCCCTTCCCTTCCCTTCCCTTCCCTTCCCTTTTCTTCCCTTCCCTTCCCTTTTCTTCCCTTCCCTTCCCTTCCCTTCCCTTCCCTTCCCTTCCCTTCCCTTCCCTTCCCTTCCCTTCCCTTTCCTTCCCTTCCCCTCCCTCCCCCTCCTCTTTTCTTCCCTTCCCTTCCCTTCCCTTCCCTTCCCTTCCCTTCCCTTCCCTTCCCTTTTCTTCCCTTCCCTTCCCCTCCCTTCCCTTCCCTTCCCTTCCCTCCCCTTCCTTCCCCTCCTCTCTCCTCCTCTTCTCTTCCCTTCCCTTCCCCTCCCCTCCCTCCCCCTCCTCTTCCCTTCCCTTCCCCTCCCCTCCCTCCCCCTCCTCTTTTCTTCCCTTCCCTTCCCTTCCCTTCCCCTCCCCTCCCTCCCCCTCCTCTTCCCTTCCCTTCCCTTCCCCTCCCCTCCCTCCCCCTCCTCTTTTCTTCCCTTCCCTTCCCTTCCCTTCCCCTCCCCTCCCTCCCCCTCCTCTTCCCTTCCCTTCCCTTCCCTTCCCTCCCCTTCCCTTCCCTTCCCTCCCCCTCCCTTCCCCTCCCCTCCCCTCCCCTCCCCTCCCCTCCTGTCCCCTTCCCTCCCCTCCCCTCCCTTCCCTTCCCTTCCCTTCTCCTCTGAGTTTCTCATCCAGCTGGCCTGGGTTGGGGTGGGAGAGGACCCCCAGAATCTGCATTTCTCCCAAGTTTCCAGGTGATGCTGCTAATTCTAGGTCCACGTGTTGAGAACTCCTGGGTGGGACCAGCTACTACATCAGCATTTAGAATATGAATAGTGCCCTCATGGCAGAGCCTGGCGAGCTACCCGTGACGTATTCGATATGCCAAAAACAGTAACAACAAGTCTCACAATGGAGATGTTACTGAGCCCACTCGAGCAAATCGATGAATAATGGGAGGACAGAGACAGTGATAGTGACAGAGTGTCCGCTAGACGTGGAGCACTGGCCCTGCCCTTGGCTCTGAAGGATGAAATGCTAAGCTCACGTAGGTATGATTCTTCTTCCCGCCTGGAGCAGACACTAAGCAGAACTTCCTCAATAAATCTGTATTTTCACATCATCAACTGAGTGCCTCCTGGCAGCAGAGGCCTCTCTCCTTGGTGCTCTCTCTGGTCATCCTTCTTTTGTTGACTATTTTTTTTTATTAAAGTAGCACCGAAGGATAAGAGTGTGTAGGATTCAAGGATACACTATGGCCAACCATGAATGCACTGCATATTTTCATCACAAGGGGGTAAGGAGAGAGGGCAGTTGCATGGGAAGCAGGTCTGTCCAGGGCGTGGGCTATCCCTTTCCCACAAGGAAGTCTCCTGTCCTTCACCACCACCTGCGCACGTTCTCTCTCTCCCCACATCCCCTCTGGAAACCACAATTAGCTGACAATCTAATAGTTTGCTTCCGTTTTATTTCGTGCACTCACTTTTTTTATTTATTTATACACCTCGTGTGAGTGAAATTGTGGGGTATTAGTTTTTTCTCCATTTACATGTCCCTTTACTTATCCATCTGCTGGGGGTCGGGGGAGCTTGGGTTTATTCTAGTTCTTGGCTCTATGGCAATGAACACAGGTGTGAATTGTGTCCTCATAGTCTACATAAACTCCCAGAAGTGAGAGAAAACTGGATCCTATGTTCTTGCTATTTTAAATTTTATGAGGGAAGTTCTCCTCTTTGTGTTTGAAGTTTGTAGAGTCTGCTGCATAGGGTTCAAGCTTTCCAACTCGACTCTTTGGATTCCAGTCTCTCCTCCCAAACAGAGAAGGGGAGGTGATGGAATGGTTCAGACTATATTATAAATATACCTTCTTATTCCCTTGACAATGTCTTGATCAAAGCTAAGAGCATGTTCAAAAGAAGCATACAGACAGGCTTATAAAAGAGTTTTCATCCAAAAGAATTCTATTAGTCTTTTCTATCTTATCATATGCAAACTAGTGTGGCAGACAATATTCTTGATCAAAGAATAAAGAGAAATCATGGCATTCCACTCCTCTTGCATATTATTTGTGGGATCCACCCCCCACACCTTGCTTTCATTGTCTGCCCTTGAGTGCCAAGAATTTATAAAGAGCTGCGATGACAATGTAGATGGAATATGGCATTCTCCCTCTCCACAGTCTACCACCAGTCCTCTTGTTGTTTTCATTTTGCAGACTCCATAATGATCCTTTCTTGAGGGGCTGCCTAACATTCAAGTCTGAGGGTATAACAGGATCTACTGAGTCATCTCCCTCCTGTTGAAGATGAAGCCTGGTTCTGAATGTTCGCAGTGGACAGACAGTGCCACCATTCCCCTGTCCACATTCACTGAGCACCTACAGTCAGAAGCAGTACTGGGTTCTGCCATCGGCCTGGGGTGCCTGCTGCTTTGGTTTTCTTTGGGGTTAACTTCCGGTGGGTAGAATTTGTGGGACAAGAGCTATAGACATCTTCCCTGTTGAGTTTATCTAATCCTAGGACCTCTACATAAAAATATAATGAATTCTTAGGAGTCATAAGTGAGAGAATTGGTGATGAGTGGATCTCAGAGGTGTGCCTGTCTGCTCTGCTGATGACAATAAAGTCATTGATTCTGGGAGCAAAGGCAGCAGGTCCAGGGCCGAGAGGAGGTGAAGAGCTGGAGCCGCTCTTGTGGCAAGGATTAGAACTTGGATGAGAACTAGAACTCAGGAGCTTTTGGCAGGAACTAGAACTTTCCACAGGAGTACCTGCCCCCCTTCTTGCCCACCCCCCTCCCACGCCCCACATACCCCTACTCAAAAATGCTTTTCTTTGGCTAGATCCTCTGCCTTCAACCCTCAGTCCAGATCTTCAACCCTCGGTCCAAATCTCACTCACTGATGGACAATGTGTCTGATTTCCATATTTGAATACAAGTTGACCCAGCTAACTAAAAGTAGACTTCACATGAACTTTGATTCTAATGGATAGACATGGAGAGTATCATGCTAAGTGAAATGAGTCAGAAAGAGAGGGACAGACATAGAAGAACTGCACTCATTTGTGGAGTATAAAACAACATAACATGAGGCTCACACCTAAGGATAACAGATACATGGGACAGATAGATTGCTCCCTAGCTGGAAGCCTGCCTCATGAGCCAAGGAGAGAAGGCAGCTGGAATAGAGAAGGGATCGCTAAGAAAATGATGGCTGGAGGAATCGGTCAGGATGGGAGATGTGTGCAGAAAGTGGATAAAGGACCAAATATGATAACCTCTCAGTGTCTGTATTGCAAACCATAATGCCCCAAAATAGAGAGAGATTATGGGGAATATTGTCTGCCATGGAGACGGGGGGGGGGCGCGGGAAAGGAAAGGGAGGGTACACCAAGGATATTGGTGGTGGGGAATGTGCACTGGTGGAAGGATGGGTGTTTGATCATTGTGTGATTGTAACCCAAACATGAAAGCTTGTAAAAATCTCATGATGATTCAATAAAATTTTTTAAATAATTGATTTTAATTATATTTTAATTAATATTAATAATTAAATAAAAGTAGACTTCATCTCTCTTTGGCATGAATTGGTTGGTTAATTTTTCAAATATATTAGTGGTAACTGCAGCCACGGAGGTGACAACTCTCCAGGTGGCTTTTGGTGGCTTTCCCACTGTAACATAGTGCTGGCCCATCCCGGAAGCTCAATATTTATGAGACAGGTTAGTTGGTGAGTTAAGGAAAGAATGCTTGCGAAGAGATCGCTGTGTGAGTGAAAGACTTCTGAGGGACAACAATATTTTAATTTTTCAGACCACGGTTTGAGAGACTTGACTGAAGCAAACCTAGAGTCCTTGAAAGTAGCCTCAGTTACCAAGAAGCCTCCACGTCTGCAAAGCCTAATGATGAACCCCTAACATCAACTTTGTCCTTCCAGTTCACTGGGAATACTAGTAGCACCTTAAGTCTCATTCAAATCTCTCCAATGAAAAAATGGGAAACAAGTCTGGGTGTCTACTCCCCCCAAAGTCTCTCTGGAAAACTCCCCAAAGTTCACCTGCTCTGGCTTAAATCCACCAACTGGCCGAACCAACGTTCCATCTCCTCTGATTCAGAGAGGGAGAAGTGTGGCATGATGGAATGTACTAGACAACTTAATCCCACTGCCCCTGACCACGTAGTGCTGGGATGTGCAAACACAGAAATAACAGAAATAATGGCTCTGGGACACCTCCGAATCCCTCAGGAGCTGTGGGCGGAGCCACAGAACTAGAGAAACAGTCGCAAGTTCTGAGCCCCACGTGGGTGAGCCACAAACCAGCTGAAAGCCAGCGTGTGCTGGCCTGGCCACCTGGCTCCCCCTGTGTGGACATGCCCAAGGCCATGGCCAGTGGCTTCAGGATCAGAGATGGAAAGTGGATCGGATTATAAACTGGTGTCCTCCCCGGAGTGTCGGCCAGTCTAGAGACTGATCCCCCCAGCACCGACTTCCCTGTCCGTTCACTCTCCCCACACCACCCAGGACTCTTCCTATCCCTGAGTGGACTTTGTCATCGCTCAGGTCTTTTAACATTGCGCCCGACGTGATGCGAGGCATTGCTCTCAGCCCAGGTGCAATCGGCCTCCCCAAGGCTGGCATTCCCATTTCCTAGGCTGGCACAGGAGGGCTTCTGTATAAATGTCACCTGTCTCCTGGCCCAGGCTCACTTCCCAGCCTTCTCCACTCTTCCTCTAGGTGCCCTTGTGCCCGTCTCCATGATTAGGTCAGTCCTCAAACCGCACCTCACCTGCACCCCATGACACTTTCTTGGACTCCCCCAGTTTTGATGTGTGTGCATATGCGAGTGCCCCCTTTGCTCCCCCACTGCACAGAGGGGGTGATAACAGGGCGGTTGAGAGGATCAAGTGTGATGAGATGTGACCCAGTCAGCACCTCGCTAGCCACACCCCCTGTTTCCTGCGGTTGGTGTATTTATCGCCAGGTCTCCCCTTCCTGGCCGCTGCTGTTGCTTAGGAGAGCCGAGAGCAAGGGCCAGCGGGCTGCTCTTCTGGGTAGACAGTTTACCTTTTCACTTCCTGCACGTAGTCTGCGTTTCGGTCGAAGAGGTGGGTCACGGAGTCTTTGATCGCCTCGTGCTTGAACGTCGAAGCTGTTCCAAACACGGTCACATTGGGAATGGTGGAACACAGCTGAGCCACAGCTTGGCCCTGGAAGGGAGACACAGCAGGTTAAGTCCCACATGAGAGCCCGTCTCACTGGGCACAGACCGGGGCTCCCGTGCTTGCCCCCATTGGCCTTCCTAAGGCTGTACCAGGCTGGGCCGTAGGGGGCTGAACTGAGAAGGTGTTCAGCGCATCCCTGGACTTCACCTGCCGAGAATTAATGGTGCCTCCTAGTAACGTCACCCCAGGAGTAACAATGCAAAGTATCTCCAGACATGAAAAATGTCTCCTGTAGGGTTGGGTCTCGCCTGGCAGAGAAGCACCAACTGGCGAGTCCCAAGTCCTGAGATTTAACTGTGGTTAATGGATCGTTTGAGTCTCGGGTTCCTTGTCTGTTCATTAGCACTAATGATGCCAACTCTAGAGGGCTCAGGTGTTCTGGATCCCCCAGAAGCAGACTCTGAGGCCAGGGCTCATTTTTAAGTCCTGCCACTGGAGTGTGATCTCAGGGTACAGCAGGGTATGATGGCAGAAAAGAAGGCAGCCAGGAAAGGGTGTGTGCTCAAGTCCAAATGCACCATGAACCACAGAAGCGGAACCCTTTGAGAACCTCTGTGAGCAAGAGTAGAATACACTTCAGGGTAGCCCACACAAAGCTGAGGAAGCTGGAGACTTTGTCAAATGTCCAGTGGAAACTGGCTGAGGGTTCTCCCGCAAGAGCATCTTTTGCTTGTGTCTAGTTATCCTGGCAGACCAAAGCCCTTAGCAAACCACCTTTCAGTACACTGGGCTGAGCTCAGAGGTGGTCTGTCACGAGGAGATTCAGCAAGGCCGTATGCAACATGGGCCAGGCACGTGGTACATAACACAGTGTTCATAGAGTCATCGGGCCCAATCACCTGTACCCTTTAGTGGCTCTAGATCCAGGGACAAGACGCCCAGGCATAGGTAAGAACAGGCAAGCCAGGTGTTTAAATAGCCAATTGTCCAGAAGGAATCACAGTGACGTTAGGAATGTGAGAGTCTTCTACTTCCTTTCCCAACGGGGTCGGAAATGAAAAGCCAACAAACGAAATACTGTGATCTTGGAATTTGGAAATCTTCCAGGCGACCCTCATTTTCTGGTGATTAAGATTCATTTGAAAACTGAGTACTGTCTCTTCCCCAGGTTGCACTGCCACCTCAAGGCAGATGCTACCAAGGGACACTATTCCACCAAAGTCATCTGGAATTTTATTTACATGTCTTGTGAGTGATCCCCATGGGGTTGGCTGTCACCATACAGAAATGCTCCCCTCCTCCCGTATTGGCAAGTAAAGGCAACCCAGAATGGGAGGATGTTGGAGTTAGTCATCCATCTAATTTCCTCTGCTCTTGGTTGTTTTGTACAGATAGGAAAGAAAGGGCATTCCAAAAGGTTAAGGTGACCTGGTTCCTAAGAGCAGATCTGAGATTCCAAGCAGGGTCTCCTGACGTCCAGTGATTATCCTTTGCTATTATGACGTGCTGTCTACTTCTGTTGACATTTGAAGCTAAGCAGAGTTTTAAGCTCCCACCTAAAATAGACATGGCACCGACACGCTCCCTTGGAGGTCAGTGCTTCCGAAGCTGAGACGTCAGCTCTAGTTTTCACTTCTAAGAATATCGTTGGTATTTGTTCACTGTTTCATCCCTGATTCGGGAGAACAAAGGGAAGACTCTTCCTAGCGGGTGTAAACATCAGCAACCAATGTGCAGTTCTCTGTCACACATGGCCTCTGAGAGGAGGGATTTGAACTCACCCTGCCAGCACTTGGCCGTGAAGTAGGACCAACCCCAGTACCCACTGAGTTCACCCTGCCCCCTGTCCTCAAGCAAACCTGGACATGCATCTGCTTGGTTATGTTTCAAATGCCTATGGGTGGCAGCCATTCTCTGCTGTGGGTACTGGAGTATCTGCTGGGCTAGCACACCGCGATCCCTGCCTCAGGCCCCCACTGACTCCCAGACTTTGTACCCAACCTCCATTCCGGGTCTGTCTCCACCTGGTTATCCAAAACAGCACCTCAAATGCAGCTGATACAGACACAGCTCACGGCTACCTCCCGAGTCTTCCCTCTGTGCCCTGGATTCATGTACTTGGGCTGTTCTAAGAAGGATAACTGGGAGGCTGACATTTATGGAGCTGGGACACCTGGAATCGGGCTGTGAGCAGGGCTGGCTCCTTCTGAGGGCCGGAAGGACGGTCTCACCGAGGCCCCTCTCCTCGTCCCGCATTCAGCCTTCTCCTCCTGGCATGGCATCAGCCTGTCGTCCCTACGTGCCCATCCATGTCCCACTGCCTCTTCTGCGGAGGTTGCTCTAACAACACTATGTCACCTCAGCTACCTCACCTTCCACTAAGGGCATGATCTGGGGTAAAGGCAATTATAATTTCACAGTATGGATTGGGGGGGGTCACAGTTCAACCTTTGACACCCTTTTTACTGCGTCTCCTGCCTCAGTAAATAGAATGGTATCATCACCCACTGCTAAAGCCAGGACTAGGGGTCAGGAGAACTTCTTCCACATCCAGAGTTAGTCGGCAAGTGGGGTGTTTCCAATCTCTGGAACTCTCTGCCACTCCCGGGTCTAGGTGCCCCTCTGAGGGAGAAGGTCAGTGACCACCTAATAGCTTTGGTCATCCCACTGTGAGCCGAGGCCTTCTCAAACCCAACACTGTGGGGTCACTCTTGTTCAAAGCTTCCCAGTGACACTCACAGAAAGAACAACGCCCCTTATTCCACAGGCCAACACACACACACACACACACACAGAACATGACCCCACCACCCTCATCACCATGACTTCCTGTCACCATGCCCTTAGCAGACCAGGCCTGGCATGTGCATGAGCCCGCGGCCCCTGAAGTCTCCTGATGTCACCTCCCAGAGCTATTCCTGAGTGGGCAGGTGGAGGTGCCAGTGCTCCTGCCCTCTGTCCCCACAAGGAGCCTGTCACTTTTGCATGGAAACCTCATCTCCCACACACCCTCCCTCCCTGTCCTGCACCTGTGTCCACTTTCTCCTCAGACCACAGCCTCCCCCTTCCTTGAAGAGTTTTCTCCCCTGAAGCCAGAGAGATATTAAGGCCTAGTATGCAGCTGACCCTGGTCTGATCCCCAGCACCACACATGGTTCCTGAGCATAGCCAAGAGGCCATGAGTGACCCCTGAGGATAGCCGGAGTGGCCCAAACTTTCCCTTCCCTCACCCCCCCCCCCCCCCCCGCAAATGGAAATTCTTCTAGAAGTTTCTCTGCTCACCCATATCCATACAGTGCTTAGATTCCTCCTGTTCCACGACACAGTTACCCAGTCTCTAATCCATTTCTATCTAGTGTTGAGGGGCAGGAGGGCTACACTGCCCTCTCGGATAGGGGTCACTGCTGCTCACCGTGGCCACCCACAGGAACTTCTATGAACTCTAGCAAGACCTAGAACCTTCCAGGACAGAAAGTGAACAAGACAGACATTCTCCATGGTCTTGGTCCCACATGGCTTTGGACCCCAGGGCCCAGGCTAGAGTCTGGGCCCTGACAGAGGCTCGTAAAGTCCAGGAAGTGGATGGAAGGTGAAGGAGAGGAGGGACCATAGGAAACCCACCTCAGCATCTGTGAGTGGGAGGATAATGGGAAACCCACCTCAGCATCAGTGAGAGATGGTGGGGATCATGAGAAACCCACCTCCTTATCTGTGCAGATTTCTAACTCCTCTGTTATTATAAGTGGCAACAAAGTATTGGCTTAATAAGTGACCCAGTCTCTAATCCATTTCTGTCTAGTGTTGGGGTGCAGGAGGGCTACACTGCCATTAGTCTGTGCTACGGGGTCACTCTCAGCAGTCCTGAGGGACATATGCAGAGCTGGGAATCAGGATCGAACCAGGGTCTCTGCATGCAAGGCAAGTGCCTTAAGCACGGTATCATCTCCCCAGCCCCTTCCCTTCTAGATTAAAGAGAAAGATACGGTAAATCACATCAGGTACTGGATATATGCTGAAATGAAATATGTAACCAACATACGATTATAACTAGACTATGTGATTTGCATCACGGGTATTAGTAAAGTGTCTGGGTGATCAATAATATCCAGCACACGGCACCCTAGTTATCGTATAGAATGGCAGAGGCAATGGTAATGAGTCCAGCAGTGTGGTGCCCAGTGGTCTGCTATCTTCTGCTCCGTGTTGCTCCGTAGGATGCAGGGTAGGACTCTCATCTCTCGCTCCCTCTCCTGACTCTGTTCATTCACTGGGGCCCTGTGTGGGCCTCGCAAGCTGCCGGGTGGTTTTCTAAAGTAAATAAGGCTCGGCGCTCGGGATTTAAGCAGAAAAGCTTTTCCTTTCCATTTATCAGGAATCTGCTCACTCCACGGCTCCCAGGTGAGTTCAAACACAGCCTCTCGTTTACCCTCACTCCCCTCTGTCCCCAGAGATGCAATAAGCATTTGTGGAATACGAAATGATTTACAAACAGAAAAAAAAGGATTTATAGTTTACCTGCAGACCCAGCAAATAAAATAGATCAGACGGTCCTTTCTCCCAGCCACAACGGCAAGTGGAGATTTGCATGCACTTGTTTCTCACTGATTTCCTGATCCCTCCAAGTAAGGGCAGGGCTATGCCTAGGGCCACCGCCCCGGGGGGCACAGCTAAGAAAGCAGCAGCTCATCAGAGCTGCCTCGACCCCATGGAGGGCCAGGCGCCTGCTAAAGCCTCTCTTTCTCCCTGAAATCATGAGAGAAAAGTAAATGTTTCCCTTTCCCTTCTCTGCCCCAAAATGGGGGTTCAGAGAAGGGCAGGAACTTGTCCACTGTCTACTCGGGAGTCGAGGTCAGGCCCTACACTTGCAGGCTGTGGCCATCTTAAGTCTGGGAGAGATGGTGGGGAGGGGACTGGGGGGGCCTGGACCTCATGCACGAAGCCCTCCCGGCTCCCCTCCGGACAGCACTGGCCCACAGGGTCAGAACAGATCCGACCTTCCTGGTCCCAGGGCTACTGCGTTCCCTCAGGCCAAGCCCAGGCAATGG